AATAGAAAAACTGCAGAACTACCAATATGAAAGAACTCCCAATGTTACAAAGGCTGGTGCAAGAGTCTAATCATTTTCCTTAAAGTACAAGTTTACAAGTTTGCCTGTTTCAGAGTTTCTTTCCTGGGTCATATTATGTACACATAATACAAAATGTAATCTTTGTTAAATAGTACTGAGCTGGGAAAAATGAACATTTTAGATACTTTAATTGGCTTAGGGTCTACTGGGACTTCTTTTGAAGGTTATTTCCTTTTATGGTCTTAATACAGATAGAAGCACCTGGTATGAATCTTTTTTTTTTTTTTTGTGGTTGTTGCTGAGACAGGGTCATGCTCTGTCTCCCAGACCAGGGTGCTGCAGCATGATCACAGCTCACTGTAGCCTCAACCTCCCAGGCTCAAGTGATCCTCTCAGCTTAGCCCCTCAAGTAGCTGGGAGTACAGGTATTCGCCACCACACCCAGCATGGTATTTTTTGTAGAGACAGGGTTTCATCACGTTCCCCAGGCAAGTCTCAAACTCCTGAGCTCAAGGAGTCCACCCGTGTTGGCCTCCCAAAGTGTTGGGATATCAGGCATGAGCTACCCAGCCAGCCTGGTAGGAATCTTGTTAGCAAGTCTGGCTTAATGGAAAAGCCATTTAAAAAATACATTTTTACTGGCAAAGGAATCATTGCATTCATTCACTCACATATAAACTGGACATTTGGTAGGTAAAAGGTTGATAAATACAGTATGTGTGTCAAATAGAGTAATATAATTTAATAAACTATTAGTCTCTTTTCAGTTATCTAATTGCATATCATTTTTGGCTAGTCATTTAATTTATCTAGACCTCAGTTTACACATTTTTAAAATGGCAATAATATTTTTTGCTCTATCTTAAAGATTGTGGAATTTGAATGGAAAATTCAACAGGAAAGCACTTTACAGAGCAGAGAGTCTCAATGTGAATGAGTTTCATGTTGTAATCAAATTTCTTCTTCTTTTTCTCTAAAGGGGCTTCCTCAAGTTTTGGAGGGGGCGTGGGGTATGACATCAAGCATCCTTCGGGGAGGGTAGATGCTTCCCAGTAAATAATGATGGATGTGGAAGGACTTCTCTCATCTATTGTCAGGCTGAGGATAAAAATCTTCAGTGCAGAGAGTAAGCCATCCAAATAAACATTAAAAAAAAAAAACAAGAAAAAATGCAGACACAAGCGTGTCCATGCACACACACACACGCACACAGAGCGTGTGTGTGAGAGAGAGAGAACCTAAAATGGAATGGAACGGTGTGGTTTTCTGATTCAGTTTTCAGGCAGAAAAATATACAAACTAAGTTTTTCTAAATAATATATGATCTGGAAGTGGGCCAGAAGTTGCTGGTATGTGTGTTCCACCATTTGATAATGGTGAAAACTTGTGGGATGTTGGTTTTAGATTTACCCACATGACTGCACTCCTTTATACATTCCTTTTCCCTGTCCCAATACATCATCCCTAATGATTCCAGCATTTTTTTGGAGAACAATAACTGAATTAAAACAATGTATTTTGGGTCCCTGCTCATATGGGTCTGGGATTTCTTTTTAATGATGCACTTTAGTCAAGCTGGAGATTTGTTTTTAGTTTAGTCCAATATATATCTTAAAATGTGTTAAAATATTAACAGGCAGTCTAGCTTTCCTGAAAGGAAACAGCTACATGCAAGCCGTGTTAGAGTATTTTTTATTGAGCCTATACCTTGGGGTAGTCTTATAATGAAGCTGTTTAACTAAAGAAACTTGTCCTCTGTCTAAGGCATGCTTCTCTAAATGAATCCTCTCTGTAACAGATAGTGTTGTAGTGAGCCTCTGAGAATATGGTAAGGTTATTGCTTTTTTAGCAGCCATTTTTTTTGTATTACAAATATTCATCTTATCTTCTCAACATTGCAACAAAGACCTATACCTAACAAAGATGCATTTCAAGTTACCTTTGGCCAATAACTAAAATGCCCCAAGCCATTTTGGTTAACAAAAAAAGGATTTTTTTTTAGATAAGAAAAATGTCCATCATTATAAATCAAGAAGCTGATAATATACCAAAGGTAGTGAATTATACTATGTATAATATACACACACTTAATAAGAATAAAATATGTTTTCACCATATTTTCTTTATTCTAATTACTTTTATAAAACCCCAACTTTTTCTGGTGTTCAAATAAACATTTCTATTTAAGACTGATTTTAACAATTATTTGGTTACTATGATGATGTCAAAATTTATAGGATTATATTGTCTATAACTATTCAGTCTAGCCTACTGAATACACACAAAGTAAAATCAAGATTTAAAATAAAAGCAAAATCTACATAATTATGTTGATTTTCTCTAAGAAAAAGGTTCAAAAGCAAAAAGTTTTGGCAAACTGTATACTGTGTGTGTATTACTTTATTCGTTTAAAGGAAATCGAACTTGACTATGCTACTTTTTCAAAACAAACAAAAATACTGAAGATATTATAAACCAAGTCAAACAAAATGAAAAACTTGGTTTATCAAGTACTCTATTCCTAAGCATTCCACAAGCATACTAACAACACAGGAGAATCTTTTCTTATTTAAAGGATATCTCAATGGTATTGAAATATTTTAAGGTAAACCTTCTGAATAGTAGAATTCAATCTTATATCAGCTAATAAAAGTTGCATTTTAGGCTTTATAAAATCCACATGATTGACTGGGTGCAGTGGTCACGCCTGTAATCCCAGCACTTTGGGAGGCTGAGGCAGGTGGATCACTTGAGGTCAGGGGTTTGAGACCAGCCTGGCCAACATAGTGAAATGCTGTCTCAATACAAAAATCAGCTGGGCATGGTGGCAGGCGCCTGTAATTCCAGCCACTCAGGAGGCTGAGGCAGGAGAATGGCTTGAACCCGGGAGGTGGTGGTTGCAGTGAGCCAATATCGCGCCATTGCACTCCAGCCTGGGTGACAAGAGTGAAACTCCGTCTCAAAAAAAAAAAAATCCACGTGATTGCCTAATGACATTTACTCTTCTTTATAGGTAAATCATTTCATTGACCGATGACCATATAAATATAGAAATAATGTTTAACAAGTAGTGATATGGTAATGAAGAATATCACAAACTCATAATACCAATACTGAAACAACATCAGTTAATCCAACCTGTATACATTATACATGAAAACAAGAGCACTTTTCTATAATAACCTATGAATAAACTGTAAGTCTTCTGAAAATATAAGCTGTAAAAGATTGTGCTAGGTACTATGTTCTTTGGCATCCATAAATTCTTTTATGAATAATGCCTATAAATGTCTTCATATTTTTAAAGAATACATTTCAAGTGTTCTAATACGCAGAAGAATTTTTCATTTGTCCATAGCATGTAATAGAAAAAAAAACTTTAGAGTAAAACTATTTTTCCCCATTTTGGACAAGTATATTGCATTTTTTCATGCATACTGTCACCCTACTCCCTCAAATCCCTCCAAACTCTGTAAAAATTATACAGACATTCTATTCCATTTATAAAAATATCAAACATGCAAATATTAAGTAGAGTTTTTCTAACAAAGTAAGAAACAGCAAAGTCTATTGACAAACATGAAAGGCTTTACTTGGAAGTTTGTTAGAAACACACTCCAGGCTATTCAGACCACACCCTAAACCTACTGAACGACAAACTGAATTTTTAATAAGATCCCCAGGTGGTTCCATTACACAATAAAGTTTGAGAAGCATTGATTTAATATACTCATCGATTGATGTAAGTTTCTATAAATTAACCATATCTAAAAAACTGGTTATAAGTGAGTATTCCATATGTACCCTTTACTTTAGCAGCATTCAAGATTTAGCATGTAATAGAATCACCAAGAATGCTTGGGGAAAAAAGTGGATTTTCAAGTTTTTGAATTGAGTAGGTCTAAGATCAGGCCTGGTTTTCCCAAACTCCCATGTATTGAATTAAAGTTAATGATAAGATAATAAGAATTCTTGTAAACAGCTCCAAATCAGCACAATACCTAATACACAAGAAAGTAACACGCAAACTGTTTCTGTTATTCTGAAATGTGTCAAACTTTTTCTGAAACTGTTCATCATAGAATTAAAAATTTGGCATTAAACAGAAATAGTTCCATTCATGAGATCTTATGAAATATTTTTTTCCAAGAAATATTAAAAGATAAAGTAATTTACTGGAGACCTTGAAGTTGACACTGTCCCCTTTGGAATCAAGTATTTATTATATTAGAAAATAAAGACCAATGCATTCTGCAGAGAGCTACTTACAACTCTCTCCAGATCTCAAACACAAATGCGCCCAGTAGCCATTCAGGTAATTAACGGGAGAAACAAGGAACATGCTACCCCAGTTACAGACATTCAGAATGTAAAAGCCCCATGCAGAGCAAACAAGAACACTTCTGTGGGCAGCGTTCAGTCCTGTGAGTTGCCATTTTCCAGTATACGTGCTAGCACAGCTTTTCTAATTAACTCTCCTGTGAGCCAAAGTGCGTATTTTTATTGTTAGTTTGCTCATGTGGTTTATTTTGGGGCTTTTGGGAAATTGTAGTTTGAATTTTACTTACAGCAACAAAACATAGTGATATACCAGACTTGTAAACTCCTTTAGGCATGTGAAGCCAAATGAATTTTCAATGATTTGGGAAAATAAGCTATAGGTATCTGAGATTTGCATAGCTCTTTTATTTTTTTCTAACAGGTCTTGTCATGAAGCAATATGGACGATGTCCAGTTTGCATTCTTTTGCCTACATTATACACTTATTTCCAAGAGATGACCGTGAGAATTTTTGTGGAGTACCTGTCTTCAACTCACTTGTTATTGCTTGTTATGCATAAGTATGTAATGCTATTTTACTTTACTGTTTTGATCCTGCGTAATTATAAGAGATTTAAGATGTACAGAAACATTGTTTCCAAAGTTCACCTAGAGATATCTTTATACTACAACTTCCAAAATAAAAAAAATAGATCTAGTCACATGTTCAATAGGTACTTTTATTTTAAACAACAGCACACAAACACAATGACACAACAGGACCATCACCTTAATACTGATAACATTCCTTGACGAGTTACTTATAATTTACATATATTGTTTTCATCTGGAGCTATTTTAAATATTATCTTAATATATACTGTAAAACACAAATCCTAAATATATACTAGTTGCAAACATAATGTGCTTAGTTACTGTTTTCCTTGTTATTCAAATAAAGTAGCTTAAAGTTCTTCAAAATCATGTCCACTTGTGTTCATTGTTTCAGGATGCATGACTCGTCCCATGAATAGAATTGTACCTGTATTGGTTTGGAAGTAAACAAAAGAGGGGGTGAACAAAATAATAAAATATTTACCTTCCTTCTTGCTTACAATTAATGACAATATGTTATTTTCTTTTTCCTTCCTTCCTCCCTCCCTCCCT